ATATGTTCTTCTTAGAGACAGAGAGACAGAAAACGAGAACCCTGGGAAGGATGGCCATGCTGCAATCCCTTCTCAATTCTCCTCTCAGTATTTTGGGCATGCACACATATGTGCCTGGTGTGAGTTTTAAGCTGCAAGGTCCGGGACTTGAACCGCATTCAACCACCTGGGAGTTCAGTGATATAACTATTTCTCCATCTGCCAGTCCTGACTGGCCAAACGTTTTTACTTTGGGGGTCTTTGATATGTCTTCTTAATTTCCTTACAGTTTATACCAGTCTACACTTTAACCAATTGGGGGCACAGTGCTTTTTAAAGTTTATTTTGTATTTATAGCAATTGTTTTGTGATATGTGAGAACGAGAGGAAGCTCTACCATGAACAAAATGCAGAATATTTTTCTAAAATTTCCTGGTGCTTCTTTGTTATCTATTCCCTCAAATCCACCACTGAGCCTAGGCAGCCACATATCTGCTACTTTTACCACAGGCAAGATTGCATTTTCTAGAATTTAAGACAAATGAGATATCTGACTTCCATCAGCATAATGTTTAAAACTATTAAATTGAACTAAATTGGCCCCAACAATTCTCTCTACTTGAGTGGCCAAATTGGCTGAAAGTACTTTCCATACATATTGAACTGCAACCTAGCTTGAGGTGCCAGAAAACTGTAACCCAACATAAGACTATGTCTTGGTAGCCAAGCAACTGAACCTCATCCAATCACAGAAGCCAACACCTCATCCTATCAGAGGCTGAAAGCTGCTGAATCATGACCATATGAGGCAAATGCCAGCTGCAGGCAATTAAGTTGCTTTTGTATGTCACTTTCTTGATTTCTTTGTCACTTCCTTTTCTCTGGCTCTGGCTATAGATACAAGCTGCATGTACATGGGGTGGAGCATCCTAAGCCAACTTCTCTCTGAAATGCTGCCCAATTCTAGAACCTATCTCTTGCTCGCTTAAGTTCTGCTAAACTTAGTCTCATTTTTAACTTTTTTCCTATTGACAAAATGTATCCCTGTGGTTGTGAATGTCAGTAGTTCTTTATTTTCTTTTGCTGATTGGTATTGTGTCCATTCACCTACTTGTAGGCATTTGGATTGTGGGATAGGCAGGCTCTAAAATAACTCCCAAAGATTCCAGCCTTCTAGTATTCATAATTACATATAAGCCCCTTTCTGTGTTTTGAATTTAGGAGCTTGCTTCCTACAAATGGAATACAGTAAAAGTGATGGAACATCAGTTTTGAGATTACATTATAACAGACTCTGATTTCCATCTCCTGCCCTCTCTTCCTTCTTGCTTGCTTGCAGCCATGTTGTGAGAGGCCCTAGCAGCAAGTAACTGAAGGTGATAGGCAGTGGGACACTGAGGCCCTCACTCAAGCAACAAGGAAGGAATTAGATTCTAGAAGTGATTGCATGAATGAGAATAGAAGGTTATCATTCCAACTGATACCTTGGTTGCAGATCCAGAATTTTTTATGAAAATTTTGTGTTCTAATTAGGATGTTCTGTAACTTTAAAATACACACAAACTTTTGATGACAGTATAAAAAAGAAGGATGTGAAGTGTTTCACTTTTAATTTCTTAGTAATGGTTACATGTTGAAATGGTAATATTTTACATGTTGACTTCAATTTGAATTTAATATCATCTAAATTAGTTTCATTTGGAGTCAGCCGGCGACATAGTGGTTAAGGCACTGGACTCCCACATAGCTGACTGCAGTTCAAGTCTCAGACCTGGCGACTTGAAAAACACTGGGTATGTGTGTGCATCCATGCCCAAAATCCTGAGAGGAGAATGAATGAGAAAGGATTGCAGCATGGCCACCCCCCCCATCCGCCCCTACACACCAAATGGTGATTTCTCACAGTCCTTCTCTTGGTCTCTCTCTCTGGAGAGTGTGTGTACCCTGAAGGAGGGGGGAACAAGCTAAAAAAAAAAAAGACTTTCTACTAATCATTAAGAAAAATAAACTAACCCCAAATTGGGCAATAAAAAGAAATAGACAATTTTCAAAGAATAACAAACAAGTATATAAAACATATCCAACCATACCAATATACAAATAAATTCAAATGTAAAAGTAATGCAATCTTACATCTAACTTTCAACAATAAAAAGATACTTTTATAACCCCAGTAAAGTCAAAGATGTGAGGTAACAAGCATTTTCATATAATGCTAATCAAGATGTAAAATGGTACACAATTTTTGGCAAATAGAAAGGTAGAATACTTGCCAGATTTTAACTCTACATTGTATTTCTGTAATGCGTGCATACACACACTCACACACACACACACACACATTTTCATAAATTTAAGCAGTGGAATTAATTTCAAATGTATGGAAAGATACACAAACATTTTCAGTATTATTTGGCTGTTGCTAAAATAGGAAATAAATTACATAAATAAATTACATTAAATAGATTATAATTTATACATAAAATTGAATATTTTGTAGTATTTAAATAGATAAGTTAGATTTGTCAGTTGACATGTAAAGAATTTTACTATGAAGTGTGAAGAGGAAAAAATAAATTACCAAATAGTATGATGTTTTTAATGTGTGTATGTGTGAGTATGTGTGTATGGATGTATGTTCATTATCCAGAATGCTAATCACCAAACTTAACAGAAATTACTTTTGAAGAATGGAATTATTGGGGATATGGTGTAGAAAGTTTGTGTTGATGGGCCAGGTGGTGGCATAGTGATTAAGGCAGCTGGATCCTACATGGCCAACTATACAGTTTGAGTATTGAACCTGGTGGTTTGAAAAATATGCTGGGCATGTGTGCATGTGTGCCTTGAATCTCAAAATGAGGGAGAAATGGAGAAGGGATTGCACTGTGACCATTCTCCACGGGAAGGTGCTTTCTCATTCTCATTCTCTCCCTCTTTCGCCCTCTTTCTTTCTCTAGAGAGTGCATTTGCCCTCGAACAAATTAAAAGAAAAAATGTTGGTGGATGACAGTCTGCACTGTTTGAACTTTTACAACATGATGTATTATAGGTATAATAAAGTGTTTAAGTAATAGTTCCAGTTTTTTTTGGGGGGGGGAGTAGACAAATTCCAAAGGAAAGGGAATCTCCCAAACTGTTTAAAAAGCAAAGCAAACCAAAACCCATGATTCTGGAGAGTGAACAGATGAGAATCGTTCTCTGTGATGCAGCACCCAGGTGCTTCCTTTCACTGCAGTGATGGTGCCAGAACAGAATAACCCCTTGAGGGTTGAGAAAACCAGTCGGATGAGAGAAATGTCAGAGGTAAATGCCTTTGGAGGTAAACAAACCCTGTTTTTCTTCATTGTTAATGCTAATAGATAGTAGTGACGGTGAAAGGTGTGGGAACTCTCTCAGGGTAAACAGAGTGAGGCCGTCTTTCTACTCATTCTGACTTGTAGAACCAGAGAACTTCAGAGGTGGAGAAACATGGATTACTTGTACCTTGTGCCAGGTACAGGCCCAGAGAGGATAAAGAATCTACGCAAAGTCAATGGGACCAGCAGTTAGCGTAATGGCTATGTTGCTGGACTCCCATGTAGTCGACCGCGGTTCGCGTCTTGGACCCAGTGACTTAAAACTCACACCGGGCGCATGTGCGTGCGTGTCCAAGATCCTGAGAGGAGAATGAAGGAGAAGGGATTGTGGTGTGGCCATCCCCCCAGGGGATGATTTCTCACTTTCTGTCTCTGTCTCTCTCTGTCTGTCTGGTGAGTGCATGCGCCCTATAGCAAAAACCTCTCCAAAAAAAAAAAAAAAAAAAAAAAAAACATCCCAAAGAGGCCCCAACACCACAATCTAGCCCCAACCCCATCTACCCCCGATTATGAGCGTATATGTGC